AGAATTAAAAATTTTATTTTGAAAAAATAATTTATTAATATTTATTTGATGTACCAATCTTTTTGTACCGGACCATAATAATATATTTAAAAAAATAAGATATTTTAATAATATTATATAATTTCAAATAGTATATTTATAATCTATTTAAAATATTATAAAAGTATTATATAATTCAAAAGTATAATTATTATAAAAATAAAAGTAGTTTTTTATTATTACTATTTTTATTTATAATTATTTATCAATAATCAGAAATAAAATTTATAAATAATACTATTTTATTTATTTAACTAAATTAATATTTTAAATAATAAGCAGATATTTTAATAATAAGAATATTAAGTTTCAGTAAATTGATATAAAATTTCTTTTTATTTTTTTCAATACTATAACTATTAGTAAAACTTTTTAATTATTAAATAATTTTAATATCTTATATTTTTATATATAAATTTTTAATTAGATATAGATAAATAATATGCTCTTTATCAAATTAGTTAAGTATTAATAATATTAATTATATATTGATTCTTTCAAGTTTATGTAATTTAAATACAAAGATATATTTCTATTATTTAGTTTAGTTATATATATAAGATTGTTATATATATTAATAAAAACTTATATTAATAAGTGTTGACTATATATTTTAAGAGAAGATGAAAGTGTTATATCTATCAATAAGTCTATTTGTTTGTTAAAATAGAAGAGAGAGAATAAGAAAGAATAGAATATCTTTCTAATTAATGAAAATTATTTGATAAATAATATGCCTCTTATGATTACTATTTTTATGATAATTTAGCTATTTTTACTAATTTATATATTATTTTTATTTTAGTAAATATATTTAGTTTAATAAAATAATTTTATCAGTTTTATTAATATAATTTTATGCTTTTAATTAAATAATCAATTAGAATATTATTTCAAATTCATTCTCATGAGGTATGTGTTCGCATGATTTGTCATGACAAATTATTAGTCATTTAAAATCAATTAGAAATTCTACTTAAAAAATAGCCATTAAGCAATATCATTTTCAATTATAAATTTTTATTTTAAAGCTATCATTTTAATAGCAGAACCGATTGTTGAATTAGATTCATAAAAATAATATATACGTTTTGAAAATGTTCTAGTTAAACTAATAGTTAACAAAATTAGTTTTCTTTCAAATAATTCTTTGATACATACAATTTCTTAAATAACCATTTTACAAAAGCCAACAAGCAGTATTTAAATGATGAATTCAATTAAATCCAATTTCCGTTATTCTGGTCAATATTTCCTTGGTGACTATTTTGTGCTACAGCAAGGTACCAACTTGGAATTGAATTATCGTTTTGATTATTTTGCATATTCGAAGACAAATATTGATTTGCTGGTGGATTTGGATTAATAGATTGACTTCCCATAAAATTCGAAGAGTATTGATTTACTGGCGGATTTGGATTGACAGGTCGAATCTCTGCTAGATTTGTGTTATATTGTTGATAAGATGGTAAATTCGGGTTATATTGTTGATACGATGGTAAATTCGGATTATATGGTGGGTTAGGTATGTATTGACTAACAGGTGGGCTTGGATCCTGAATTTGGGTTGGAAATCCTGTTGGTTTAACAGTTGGAATAATCACAGAAACTGGTTCATTGTTAGAATGCGTAGAATATTCCGAATTTCTTCCATTTGGAGTAATGTTAGCAGGAGAATCAGATTTACGTCGACGCATAAAAAATATCACAAACGCAATGATAACAGTGATAACAGCTGCAGCACCGATTGAACCTCCAAGTATTAGACCAAGTTTATCATTCTTTCCGGGGGGTCCATTTGCGGGGTTGGTTGGATTAGGATCAAAGGATGTGGCAGGCCCAGTAGTAGTGCTGGTGGGTGATCCTATTCTTACTTCGTAAGTAGGCGTCCAAGCCAATGAATTTAAATTCGCCACATCCAAAATCTTTACTTCAGATGTAAAAGAATAATTTCCATATACTCCTGTAAAATAAATTTAAGATGAACAAGAAGAAATGTGAAAAAAAAGAAATAATAACGATAATAAAATTTTACCAAGTGCTATAATCATATATCCATTATACATAATAGCAGTATGACTTCTTGTTACATTAGTGTAAGATAAGCTATTAACTGATGGCCGGAACCATGTCCAAGTTGTGGTGTTCAATATCCATATCGAGTCAGAATTGGGAATAACTCCAGTAGGATAGTAAAGTCCTCCATACATAATAATAGAAATGGAATCCAAGTCTTTAATATTTCAAAAGTAATCTTATTAGTCATTTCTTATTCATATTATTACTTTATAAGATGAAATTTTGAAATTTTATTACGAAGTAATGCTGAATGCCCCAATCGATTTTTTATCTCTTCGTTACTTGTAGACATCTAAATAAAATAAAATTTTAATAATTCTACATATATGCATATAAATAGAGCATTATAATTTACCTGACTATTCCATTCAAGTTTTGTGGTATCAAATATTAATATCTGAATAATTGATTAATTGATAAAAGAATTAGAAACAATTCTTAAATAAAATAAAATGATATTTAACTCGCATTACCTCTAAAAAATCAACATCTGGATATGGACTCCTACTTATTCCACCAATATAAATAATTCGACCATCATTTAATAATGTTGCCGAATAAGATGATCTTGGATTCGGTGTATTTGCTAATTTATAGCTTTTCCAACTATTCGATTCGAATATATACGTTGTTGTATTATCTTGACCTGTATTACGTCCACCCCACACGAAAATTCTCGAAAGATTATCAATGATTGGAAATATTCCATCTCGTGCACTTGGCCACGTGTCTCCTTGCTTTGGTGAAGATGTTGTCCAACTAAGAGAAGTGTCATTCAATGGCTTTATTTCGTATAAAGTGTTTACTTCGGGTAATGACTTTTGGAATAGAAGAGACGATTATTAAATATTTTAATAGATTGGGATAGAATGTATTTAAAATTTACCGATTGTGACGCATCAGTTCCACCAAATATGTAAGTAATATTATCTTTTCCTAGACAAGCAGCAGTCCAGACAGGTGATGGCATATTTTCAAGTCCAGAAACTTGAACAAAATTTGGCTTAGTTGCAGTGAAGTTTAATGATAAATCTAATAGAAATGCATTAATTTTTGTAGGAGATCCTGTTCTTCCACCAATATAATAAATTTTTTTTCCTATCAAAACTGCATTGGCGCCATCGCGCGCAACCGAATTAGTATCGATTGAATTGCATTGAGAAATTAAAATACTAGCAGTAATACTAATAATGATAATAAATATGTTGAGTAATGAATTCATTTCTATAGAATTTACTATTTTAGTTTGTAAATATTAAAATAACATATAATAATTCATATACAGTAAGTACGGTCTGTATTCGTTATCATAAAAAAAAGTAGCAGATAACGATGATACGTAAAGGCCAAATAAATATGGAATTTATGTTTATACATAATATGTACGTATCACCAGACATTAGAATTAATTTCCTTAAAAAACTTTTATCCCGTTACTTTTTTTAGCCAATATTTGTGGTACAAATGAAATATAGACAAAGATGTACTGTACATGTACCCGAGAACACATTTTTTTTCTGTAAACAATTCCATTTTAAGTCATGTGCATGTATACACGTATACATGTATCATGTAACTACCAAATTTTTTAGATTTCAACGTTTGGCAATTGAAATTTACTTATGCATTTTATATTAAACTAAAAAGAACGTGCAGTACGGTACTTATCCACTTATGATTCGGATTTCAAAAACAAGATTCCTGATCTAGTGGTTGATAATTGAAAAACCAATCAATTTTAAAATAATCAGCTAGTCGATTTTTAGTATAACATACTAAAAGTGAGCTCAAAGTTGCCTAAAATAATGACATACAAACACAGTTCATGAAAGTCTCCTGAAAAAAGCCAGATCTATTTCTAACATTTTATATTTCAGAATATCATCAATGGTATATTGCACAAAAATCGACTGACCAACTTTGGTCGATAATTTTCATTATAAACAGTCAGTCGATTTTCGTTATCATGATTTAAAATCAAATAATCAGAGAAGAAGCTCTATTCGATTTATAAAATAGATTTTAATTACATGAGGATTATCTATTTGATTAGTTATTAATTATCATAACATCAATAGATTCTGGTTCAAGTTTATAAGAATGATATCAAAGACCATCCATCTTGAAAACTTTCTGATTATAATAAAGAAATGGATCTATGCTAAAGGTGCTGTTTTTGTAATCCAGCCCATGAATATTTTTAGCAGTCCTCAATACAGTTTAATTCAGTGATGTTCCATAAATTCATTTTGCATTTTAGGTTGTTTACTACTGAAGAAAGATTTGTTCTTGATTTTATAAGAGCATCTGGCGTAAAAGAGTAACAAGCTGAACTTAATAATACAATTTATATGCGTTATAAGAATTATTCACTCTTTAATTAACAGAAGGTAAATAATTAGAATTTTAAATTACGTAAAACTTCAAAATTCAAAGCATAAATAATCTTTAAAACAAATTTGTCAACTTCATCATTCGTTCAATATTCATCCTTATTAGCACAATGATGAATAATCATGCAACTGGTATTTGCTTACTTGATAACTGTGAATGAAGTTGACCAATTAATTCACATAAAACTCACTGATATGTAATTTATTGCCTTGTGACTTTGAAAGTAAAAAATTATCATTTTTGATTCTCAGAAATAGTTGGACATTCTGCTTTTTATTATAATCGTGCATTTGTTGAAGAAAAGTAAATATTTTTTGAATTTTATCTGAATATTATTATTAAAATACTTTTATACTTTTTGATGTTTTTAAGCTTATATCCATTTTTCAAATATTGCTATAATTCACAATAAATTAATCAATTTTATATTTTAAATTTCAGCCAAAAGATTATTTCAATTTTCATGTTCAGCATCCTCGGAAAATTTTGCTCGATTTACTACTGATACGTGTTACATTTATAAATTTATTTGATTTTGAATTTAAACCTCACGAATATTCCTTTATATGTTGGATACTTTTTATTGAAAACAAATAATGTACTTGACAAAGAATTATGTAAATATAAAATTTTCATCATAATAGATATATTACATATAGTACATGGATTAAAATTGTATTATGTACTAAAGAAGAAAATTAACTTATGTATTTAAAATAAAATTATTTATTTTTTATCGTTTTTAATTGGATCTTTGAGTGTAAGTATTTGATAAATTCATAACTTTGTTGTTAACAATTCTTTATATGAAAATGACATAAAGTGGTTAAACAAGAGCAATAGTTCGTTTTTATTTCAAATATATTTATAGAAAAGGGTGACAATATTGATATGTGTGTTTGCTTGTAACTCAGTGTTAGGCAATTGGAAAGGATACAAGTAAAACTGGCTCACATTTGGAATTGTGGAATATATACGTATTAGTTCATATACAAAAATAATCAAAAATTTATTTAGTTCCCCGTTTTTCAATGGACATTTATTATGTTCTTGACACCTGATAAATTTGTCGGGATCCAAACAGACCAACTTCTAATGTACTTGAGGGTTTAACATATATATCTAATTTGACAATGAAAATTATTTGAATACTTTACATTTCAATACTATAACTCATTATTTATATAGCTCATGAGAATATCCTAAATACATGAAAAAATTAAAGAATGTATTAGAAAATCAGAAATGGAAAAAACCTGACGAGAGATTACCAAAAAGCATTTCTAAAAGAATTATAGAGTTTCTGAAGATGAAACCACAAGAAAATAATACAATTGCGAAGTCCAGAAGCATGCGAATGCATTCAATTGTTTATTTGAGTCAGGTATATTTTTAAAAAAAACATATCTGTGTTGGGAATAGTGTTACTATGTATGTTGGAAATTTAAATGAAAAAGAGAAGCTAAGTCGTGTTGAAATTATTAGATGCAATCAAATACCCATCATTGTGATGAATGTACTAAATGGAATGGAATAGATACTGCGATGAATGTTTTAGCTCACAGTACTCATATGTACTGATTGTCAAAAAAGTATAACTGCACCAACGAATTTATAACGATAAATTGTCTAGCGAAGATAAAGATATCTAATCTAATATAAGAATGTGAGCCTTAAGTTATTCGAATGGATTCATCGAGCAAGGTAAAATCAAATGATAACTAAAATCGCATGTAGTTTATGTTAAAAAAATAACTTTCATGTAAGGTTAATAAATGTACATTGTATTAATGTTAATGACGTTAAATATGAAATCTTTCCCCGTTTATCCTGGTTCTTCTGTCCCGTTTTCAATAGAACGTTAATTGTTCGTCGTCTAGTGATCTTTGAAATTTTAGTTTTTAAAAATACAATTATTATCATTATCGTCGTTAAAGAAACATAACGAAAATTAGAATAATTACTTGAACATAATAAACTCTACCTTTAGATGTGGCGTCATTGATATATATATCATATTCAGTTAGTTACGTGTACATGTGAACATTAATCTGAATGGAATGCCATTTTGATTGCATCTAAAAATAAACGTGCATTACACCAGAGCGGGTTGTGATTAGCACCATCAGATATGAACCTAACCCATTAACAACCTGATTCTATATAGTACAAATTAAAGGGTATTAATCTTATTTTAGTATAGATTCTCGAAAAAGAATCAAAAAATAAATCGGAAGTGTTAAAGTTTGTTAAAAAATGAAATATTACAATTAATACATGTAATTGAATACCTGTTTTTCAGGCACATGAAAAATAGGACAATATATGAGATGTTCTAATTTTTACTCATTTTGAATACATGTATAATGACAACGATAAGGAGATATGAAAATTTTTTTGATGATTTAATTTAATGCTTTAATTTAATGCTTTGCAACACAAACAACAAAAATGAGGCTTAAAAGGAAATTTTTCATATAGTGAATGCAACGATAAAATTTATATTTAGCCTTTTATCATAGTTTTTAATTTTTTCATATAATGAAAATATGAGATTACAACATTAACATTATTTTGATATTTACAAACCAAATATAATCGATATGAATTACGCATATATAAAAATGAATTCATTTCTCAAGATAATTGTTCTTATTATCATTAACCTTAGTATTTTAATTTCTCAATGCAATTCAATTGACACCGCCTCACTTCCACGCGAGGGAAACGAGGCAGTCTTGGTAGGAAATAAAATTTATTATATTGGTGGAAGAACAGCATCTCCTCGAAATTTCAACACGTTTCTATTGGATTTATCATCAGATTTTTCAGCAACCGATCCAAATTTTGTTCAAGTTTCTGGACTTGAATATATGCCATTACCTACCTGGACGTCTGCTTGCCTAGGAGAAGATAATATTATTTATATATTTGGGGGAACTGATGCGTCACAACCGGTAAATTTTAATTCACTTTTTCCAAACTAGTAAAAGATTTAATAATCATCCTTCTATTCCAAAAGTCATTACCCGAAGCAAACACTTTATACGAAATAAAGTCATTGAATGACACTTCTCTTAGTTGGACAACATCTTCACCAAAGCAAGGAGACACGTGGCCAAGTGCACGAGATGGAATATTTCCAATCATTGATAATCTTTCGAGAATTTTCGTGTGGGGTGGACGTAATACAGGTCAAGATAATACAACAACGTATATCTTCGAATCGAATAGTTGGAAAGGCCATAAATTAGCAAATACACCGAATCCAAGATCATCTTATTCGGCTACATTATTAAATGATGGTCGAATTATTTATATTGGTGGAACTAGTAGGAGTCCATACCCAGATGTTAATATTTTAGAGGTAATGCGAGTTAAATATCATTTTATTTTTTTAAGAATTTATTCTAATCCTTTTATTAATTAATTAATTAATTAATTATTCAGTTATTAATATTTGATACCACCAAACTTGAATGGAATAATCAAGTAAATTATAATGTTCTTTTATATTAATATGTATATATGTAGAATTATTAAAATTTTATTTTATTTAGACATCTACAAGTAGCGAAGAGATAAAAAATCGAGTGGGACATTCAGCATTACTTCGTAATAAGTTTCGAAATTTTACCTGTATGAAATAAAATATAAACAAAAATAACTAATACGATTTCTTTCGAAATAAAAGACTCAGATTCCATTTCTATTATTGTTTATGGAGGATGTTACCAATCTAACGAAGACATCACCAATTCTGATTATAATGAATATTCTGCAGTTGAAATTCCCGATTCTGATTCGGTATGGATATTGAATACCAAAACTTGGACATGGTCCCGGCCATCAGTTCCTAGCTTATCTTACATCACTGTGACAAGAGGTCATACTGCAGTCATGTATAATGGATATATGATTATAGCTTTTGGTAAATTTTATTATTTCTTTATTCTTTAATATTACCTTTCTCTTATTAAAATTTTTATTTTGCAGGAGTATATGGACATTATTCTTTTACGTCTCAAGTTAAAGTTATGGATGTGAGGAATTTAAACTCATTGGCTTGGGTTCCTACTTACAAAGTAGCTAACGGCCATAAACTAAATCTTGGTTTAATTCTTGGCATTTGTGGTGCAATCGCTGGTGCTCTTGCTATCTTTGCTCTTGTGATATTTTTTATTCGTCGACGTAAATCTTTAGAATATGTTACACATTCGAACAATGAACCAGTTTCTGAGATTATTGCAACTGTTAAGTCAAGAGTGATTCCAGCCCAAGTTCAAGATAATTTTTCTATTCCAGAATATAATCCATCATAACTTTAGCAGAAAAAATTTATCCAAAACCATCAGCAAATGAATATTCAATAGCATCAACAAATCAATACTGTATTCAAAAGAAACTGCAAAATATACATGTACATTGATGATGAACAATTATTTTAATTGAATTACTAATTTTTGCTTTACATGAACTAAAAAATTTATTATGAAGTTATTGGTCCGAAAATCCCGAAATCCAACCAAACATCCCGTATAATATTGCTGAACTTCACGTTGTATTTTAAGAATGTCAGGATTTTGGGTATTGTAAGGATATCTTTTATACTTATCTAAATATATATATATATATATAATTATAATTATAATTATAACTATGATTTCAAATTTCAATTTAAATTTTAAAATATAGTTCTTAATAAAAAAAAATATATATTTTAATAATAAAATATTTAAAATTTATAAAAATTTATAAATATATTCTTTAAAATATTAAAAACAAGATTTTTTTAATAGTAAAAGACATATTAACTTAATAAAATTTTATGAAATTTTGCATTAAATATAATAAATTAGATAATTATATGAAATAAATTTAAAAAATAATATTTGAAAATATTTTTAATAAGTATTTTGAAAATAATTTTATAAAAATATATTTTAAGATATAAAAAATATATTTTGTAAGTTTAAAAAATTTTTATTTCATATTTATTTAATAAACTTCAGTTAATAAAAAGACTTTAATTTAATAAATTCTATAATAAAAATTCATTTTATTATATTTTACTATTATATTTTATAAAAATTATTAAAATAAATCTTTTTTAACTAGTATTTATTAAATAAATGTGTAATAAGAAATATTTTTTTAAATTTATTTTTTATATCTTAAAATATATTTTTACAAAAAAATTTTTAAAATTACTTATCAAAATATTTTAAATAATTTCTTTTCAAAGTTATTTATATAAAAAATTAATTTATCTTATTTAATATAAAATTTTATAAAATTTTATTATTTCTAATATTTTAAAAAATATATCTATAAATTTTTGTGAGTTTAAATATTTTATATTAAAATATAAGCAAAAATATTTTTTTATTAAAAATTATATAATATAAATTATAATCTAAAATTATATTTTACTTAAAATACTTATTATAAATTAATAAATATTCTTTAATAAATAAAAAATAATTAATAATATATTTAATATTAAGTATTATTACCATAGTAACATAAAAATCCCTAATTCCTTAATCTTTTCGTGATTATGCAAAATCACATTTTCTCATAATTTTTACATTT